AACACAGGAGAAATGAAGAAGGAGTTGAAAGGGTTCCAAAATTAAGTAACTTGGTTGGACAAACTTTTCTACTGTAATCCTATCCCATGGGACTCTTATTTAATTCTTTCATATTTATTTCGTTTATAAGATAAACGATGTCCATTTTAAAAGTATTGTAAAGTGGGAAAACTCTGGGATTGGGGGGGTTTGAAAATGGTATATCCAGGTATGAAGTTAAGCAGAACAAATGGGGTAGTTCTTCCTCTTCGTCCGTCTGCTCCTGCTTCCTTCACTCAACACCAGTTTTGAGCATTGACGATGTGCCAGGCCCTGATCTAGGTCCTCGTGAAAGAGCAGTGACTGGAACAGTCAAGGTCCCTACTCTCAAAAAGCTTATAATAGTGGGGGAAACCAATACACAGACTATGAGAAATAATTATCTACTATGTGGTAATTAAAGAGGATGATTTATTGGAGAATGGCTGGGTGGCTGCTTTAGAATGGGTGGTCAGAGAAGGTGGTGACATTAAGCTAAGAGCTGAAAGCAAGGAGGCAGCCATGAGTAGCAGAACATTCCAGGGAGTAGAACATTCCAGAAAAGGGAACTACTTGTGCTTCAATTTGTGTCAAGGAGTGTGGAGGAAACCATAAGGATCTTCCAAATATAGCAACACTTAAGTCACTGATAAAGAGACTGATACATGCTGCTATTTTCTTCTCTTCTACCCCTCACACACATCATCTCTCACTCCCACATATGCAGAGCAAGAACGTTTCTTTGATTTCACACAGTGCTTACTATTGTTTATCATTATGAAGATGTAATATCACTGTGTCAGTTCAGAACTGAACTGAGGTGACACACAGAAGCCCTAATACCTTAACATGAGTGATTATAGGACATGCCCCTCTTAAGACAAGAATTGCAGAAATGACTGGGTGTGTAAGGGTGTGAGTGAGAGACAGGAGACAGAAGCAAAAGTAGTGAAATGCAATTATTTTGAGAAGCCTAATTCAGCCTGAAATCATCTTACCCTTTGCAATTCATGATACTGATTTCTTTCTGTAAAGGTTGGGGAAAGAGACAGTAGTAAGAATAGGAGCATAGAGAGTTAAATTCATATCTCGTTTAGCCGTTAAGTATGTAACATTTTTTAAAGCATTTCATTATCATTCTCCCAGTCAAAGGTCATGGACTTTTATGGTAATGTGTATATTACTGGCCCTAGAGTGACAAATATGCAAAACTTTATCTGTCCTGTCCTCTTCTGGGGTGCAAGGACTCATCCATTGCTTAACCCTTCAGTAATTTCTCTTTTGATTTCTCATTTTGCTACTTTCCCAGGTTTATATTCTACCTTCCTCCCACAAGACAGGGGAAGAATATTTAAAGAAAAAAAGAGAAATGGGGTTTGAACACAGAATATTGCTATTTATATCTTGTCTGGTCTAATTTAAGAGATCAGCTCCATGGAGAAACAGGACCATGCTTTCCTACAAGCTTTGCAAACCATTTACTACATTTGGCATTCACAAGTTTCTCTTCAGGGTTTACTCCTAGGAATCCCATGCATATCTATGCCCGTGAAGGATTGTTTCTGCAGAAATAGAGAGAAGCAGTGATTTTGTGCCCTGTCTTTATTTTGAATCTTCATGCATAATTTGTACAGAGTAGGAGGCAGTCAGGCTTATCTGGTGCACTCCAAACAAGGAAAAACAAACAAAACAAAAAAACAAAAAAACAGTTCATAAGTTAGGTTTGTGTTTACTCCTTGCTCTTTTTGTGTGCTAAGAAATATGACTTAGGCGCCATGTTGCTGTGACAAAAGATTGAGGGTCAGACACCGAGTCACAAAGAGCACTCTCATTTATGAATGCTTCCCTGTGCAGTGTCTAAGCGTGCTTTGGGTCGCACAGAAAGTGGTCCCACAAATCCAGTGTGCATGGCATCTCGCACTTATCGAATGGCCTACATTTCATTGAGTTTAACTTATACTTTAGGGATAGCATCCCAGACAAAGACACTGGGGAAGCGAAAACTGAAGTGGATGCCTCCAGGACACTGAACCGGGACCTAGCCCCCAGGAGAGACCTGACAGACCCAGCTGCAGGTCTGGGAGGGTTGTGAGGCTACTTGTGAGGATTTCTGTTGGGTAATAAAGGATCAGGGCTGGACTCTGTTAAAGAAAAAATTTATATTTCCATCTTCTCATTGTAGTCTTTGACTTCGCACCCCCCCCATACCCTCCCCCTAGACTATTGGAGCTATTTGAGAGGAAAAAATGCAAAGAGGTTTTCTTTCTGAAAATGATCATTTTTCAGGAATCTGACACATCAAATAACCATTTCCAGGTTAATGTATTGTGAGAGTAAATAGTTTACTTCTCATTATTTGCCCCCTAATTGTTTCCTATTTGTTTAATTACAAATGATTTGGATGAATGAAATGCCACAAAGCCCCAAAATATAAATCTTTCCTTTTATAAAAAGGAGCAAAATCACATGCTGATGAGAAAAAATAGAGAGATCCGAAGTTTTTCACTGTCAAGAATAAGAGGCAAATCTCATTTCCCCCAATGTATGAAAAGAAATAAAAAGACGTGTGAAAGAATTCTACTTGGCAGCTACATATAGTCATTAATTATCAATAACTTAGATGCCATTCTAACTTATTTGCAGATATCATTCAACATTTTTTTATCGATACATACAACTTTTAAAACAATGAGCAAACCTTTTCAGAAAAGACTATGATAATACAGAAAGGGGACGTCAGACCAAACCAATAACATTGGTTACCTCAAGAGAGTGCCTAGGAAGAGAACTAACTTTTTCTTTCATTACTTCTGTATTGTTTGAGTTGTTACATCAAGTATGCATTCACTTCTAATTAAAGCAAAATCCAATAAATTATAATTTGTAAGAAAATTGAAAAATTAATAAATATTATAGTGTCGTCACATATAATTTTCTATCTAGTAAATGGGAGGTAATTATACAATATGAAACCCACTCAGTGATGTGCTAAGGATGTACTTATATACCTAATGACCTGAAAAAAGAAAACAGTGATAAAATGCAGTACAAGTCAATGTTATCTCTAAGCTGCCAGGTTTCGTAATTAGGTGCCCTGCCTTTCCCTTAATTTCTTCAAGAAAGGAAGAGTAATCCCTATGTATGCAAGGGTCCTCAACACTAAAGTCCATTTTTCCTGGGTCTTATTTTAAATTGAAAATCTGACTAGTAAGCAAATCATGATGCCATTCTTCAAACTTGTCTTACGCTACTCATCCTCTTCAAAACCACAAAACTGACTTGTGTGTTTTGTAGACATGGCCGCCATGCCACCACACACACTAACATCGCTGGAAAGCAGAAGGAAAAGCTGCAGAGCTGTTGAAACTCCTGGGAAAAGAAGGGCTGACATGCCTGTTAACAGCTCCTCATGTCTGCTCTCCTGTGATTTACATCCAATTTATGACAGCCATTCTGGCGGATACACATCACTGAATTAAGAGCACAGTCAAGTCCTAGGCATTAAACACATCCGCCCTTTCTTCTGCCCTTTTGTTTCATTAAAAGCAGTAAATACATATGCAAAATGTAAAGGCAAAAGGGGTTAGCAGAGGCAATTAATTTGATGGGTTGGAGCTACAAGAGTGTACACCTCTTTTAAGGCTGCCACTCCAAACCTCACTTTACCTGTTCAGCGTCTCAGTGGAGCTGGAGCACAGGTAATAAATGCTCACCTAGCATCTGCCATACTGTATCCAAACCTAGCGGTCCCACTGCCTGCAAAATGAACCTGAGCGACATACAGAATTAAGTGCAGGAAAGTAACAGATAGCTTTTTGAAACTGCAACAGACGATTGTCCAGAAGTTTACTTTTATAAAATCATCTGCTCATTTTTAACTTAAGGTGTTCATTTGGCTGATTCATTTGACGAGTCTAATAACGTTCATGAAATCGCTTAGTAAACAAAATGATGTACAAATATATAAGATATTTCTAGTGACTATCTTATATATTCTAACATTTCTAACAAACAAGCTGATGACAGAGAAACAGACTGTTCAGTACCAGAGCAATAAAGAATAACTCTTATCCTAAAGTCATCTTTCCTGCCCCACATCAAAAACATCAGACATCATAGGAAAATCTAAGGGACTTTCCGAGATTCTGGCGCATTCTCAAGGAAATGTGACCTTGTAGAGTATGTATACATTTCATACGACTCTTCTGACATTTCCACTGACCTCTATCAGGGCAGTGACTCAAGGTCTGTTATGCTATGATAGAAACATTTGAGTTAATTGATTTCTGCCTCTCTCTAACACGGTAATGGCTCCATTCATAACAACTCTCTGCTGTGTGGTGCCAATGGAAACAGCTCATGCAAGGTTTATCATCCTAAGAAAAATAATGGAAGTCAAATATGAAGCTGGTATTCATGGAAATATGCAGTTCCATGGAATTCCGAAGCCAAGGAGGTCGTGTTGTGAAGGGCGCTCTTCTTCCTGACAAGCCTGGTTATCTCTGGTTTCATTCCCCTCCCCAGGTTTCTATACAATGAATTTCCACCCTCAGCTTTTAGTCTTCCCCTGTTTATCTATATCAGATTTCCTTACTGATTCTTACATTGAAAGCATTTGGAAATGCTTTTAATAGAGAGCTCCAAGTAGGTCCCCTTCCTCATTGCCTCTGGGGAGTGGCCACATCCTTGCTCTACACTGGAAGGCCACACCAAGCACAGATATTTGCACAGCTGAAACCAGTTACAGCTTTTAGCAAAGGGCAGATTTAACCAGGCTTCTCATGTACCTTCTTTATTTTTAGGTATCTCATGTATTTTTGAACGACCCCCCTTGGTAGCAAATTCACACCAGCCAGGGACAATTTGCTTGCAGAAGGGGCAATGTGCCACATAGCTAAGTCCAGGCAAAGAGTTTTCACTGACCAGCGAGGCAATTTAACGGGGACATGGAAAGTATCATAAAACCATGCAGAAATACTCACAGTTTGGGTTTGGCAAGCAGAGGTGGTGGCTCCTTCGTGGGTGAGAGCAGGACAGCTGGTGTTGGGGGAGATTTATTACCGTTAGCTTTGCCATTAATCAGTCCGTTCACTCCATGGTTGGGATGGACTCCGTTTGTTTCCCTCTCAGCAGGACTGAATTGCATTTGAAGGGCTGCCATTCCCAGCCCCAACTCTGGGCTGTTCACCTGCTGGATCTCTGCTGGTTTCTTTGAAGCCAACTCAAAAGGACTTGTCTCCAAGATTGGAGGGGGAGGTGGAAAGTGTTGGAAGTGATCATTGTTGGATTCTCCCATGGAGTCATAGCTACAGTTTTCAGTGTTGGCTAAGGAAGAGGAAAGAGAGGAAAAAATAATAAGATGCTACTAATTCAAGGTATTGTCACGCTGTCACAGATCGTCTGAGAATCCCCTAAGCCCTGCTGAGTTGTTACAGGAGAGGTAGCTGTGCTGCCTTCATCTGAGGCAGAAGCCAAGCCAGCTGGAGGGCTTGGTTCTTCCAAGCTTGTTTTGGGTGACTGCTACCTGTTTCATTTCCTGAATGGGCCCACGAGTGGAGGGAACCAGCTACCAATTCACCAACAAATTTCAAACAAGAACTAAAGGCAGAAAGAATTTGGTAAAAAAAAAAGTTAAAAAAAGGGGCAACATAAACAGTATCAACATAATGCTTTGTCCTCTCACATTTCGGCCCACAGATCTGACTGAACACCCCACCTGAGCTTCCTGACATGAGCTCAAGCTCTAAAGGTTTTATGTGGCAAGCAATGGGTAGTCATTCTAGTAAAAGCTAAGTAAAGCTTTGTGTCTAAAAGAAATATGATATCATCGACAATTTTTTCCTCCAATTCAGATGAATGCCACAGCTGTAACTCAGCACAAAAGAATTTTTTACTGTTACTCTCAATAAACTGAAAGCATCTTGATGTAAGATCATGTCTTTTTTTTATTCCTCACCTTGCCCAGAACCCAGCACAGCTCCTGGAATATACTTAAAAATGCTTACTGAGGTACACACACACACACACACACACACACACACACACACACACACACATATGTATATATGTATATAAACATGTTTACCTCAGTAAGCATTTTAAAATATGTGTGTGTGTGTGTGTGTGTGTGTGTGCTGATTATGTTGGGCCTATAGATTTACCGCAGATAAAAATGGAAAATACTGCATGCCCATTTTACCACACAAACTCTGAGAGTTTTGTTCACAATGTCGGAGCACTGCACCCATGCTATGGCTGTGTGACGGGACAGTGTTCAAGCCAACTCAGAATCCAAATACTGGGATGGTCCCTGCCCGGCAGCCCCAGTCATGACACAGGAAATTCCTTTTCACATTTAAAGTACGCATTCATATCAACTTTCCCCATTAAAGTGAACTTACATTTCTATTCTTAATTAAGATGAAGCAGTAACAATTCCCACTCTTAAGGTCCCTAACTAACACAGTCTTGGTCGTGCCTTTGCTGCCACCTAGCACCAAGTTCCCACTCTTCCAAAGAAATCAAAGTGCGATCCGATCATTCTCTCCAAGTTTGTCTCATCCAGGCAAAAACCCATAGACTGATTCCCTACGATGCGCACTACATGTTAGCCTTGGTCAAAGAGATATTTTTTAAATTGCTGTAAAATGAAGAACAGAGATAAGGCAATAAAAACAGCTAAGGAAATGCCAATCAGTAACAGCAGAAAACAGCAGGCTGAAGTTAACAGAAAATAAAGGAAAAAGCTGTTTCATGTTGCCTTCATAAGGAGTAATTTCTGAGTTTAAAAAATATCCAGATAGTTTTGAATATTGGTTGCAATAATATATCGCTTAATTTTTTTTATATCAAGTTATATTTCATTATCCACAAACTTTAATTTCTAAGATCTTCACAGCTTCTCCAAATTACATTAGGTTTATCTTGTATTAGTTTTTCGGAACTTTCAATCATGGATTAAACACTGATTTATTTGTACGAGTGTCTCCAGGTCTGCTGTGTGGACACTGCTGAGGACGGTGGCAGCACCTCCCATTCAGAGGTGGCCTTCTGATGCGAGCATGATTCTGTGTTAGCATGAGGATGTCCGGAAACCAGCTCCATTGTTTCCAAGACCAAACTTGCATGATTAAAAAAAAAATAGCCCCACATGGGCTCAGTTGCTACATTACCATTATCTTTTTGTTTTTCATCTCCATGTTCACTCTCCTCCCTCAAAGTCTTTTGGCTCCTGATGAAACACTGGCTGTTAGGAGAACTCCTGGGGAGACAGCCAGCATTCCCAATGGCTGAGCACGACTCCTGCGATAGTCGTTCCTCTGTGGGGAACCACACTCAAGTGCCAGGGAATGGGGACCTCATCATTTTCACTCCTCACATACCTGAGGTGACAACCAGCTGGGCAGTGCTGGTTACTGATCCGTAATCGTTTCTCGCCGAGCATGTAAAGATCCCCGCATCTTCAGGGAAAGTCTCAGCGATAACGAGGGTGCAGATCTCCTCTGAAAAGGAAGAGAACAGAATCCCTCATCAGAGTGACCCCACGAAGTCACTTTGAAGAAGACTGACCGTTTGCCTTTTTAAAACAAGCCAATTAGATCATGATTATTCAAGAATCGCTTTACCAAGATAGTCACATTAGAATCTCTTTGCATTTCATTTTGCAGTTTAGCCTAGTGGCAAAAGCTTTGGGGGGTCAGACCTATTCTTGGTGATTTCGGAAAAGGTCAGCTTTGGATTCCTCATCTATTAAGCGGGAGTAATATACACCAATTAGGATCTCTGTGAAGATGCAAAGTATGGACCTCTGTACTTGTCATGTGAAGATGCTCAGGAGATGCCAGCTCCATTCTCCTTCTGCCAAGTCGTTTTTACACAAGTTCCTTCTACTACAGTGTAGCTGCCTATTTCTGCTCAACTGAAAAGCACTTAGTGGGGGGGGGGAATCAAGCTTCTCTGAAATGCTGACAATGGGACAAAAGAACATAATGTGCAAATATTTGACCTGCACACAATTATTCTGGAAGCTACTGTTACAAAGTGTGGTAGTGTCACATAGCATGGAAAGCCCAGGCTCTGGGACCAGCTGCCAGAGCTTGAATAAGGGTCCTGCCACATCTTGCCTTTGTGTTTGTGACTTTGATCAACCTCCCTGAACTTATCTGTAAAATGGAGGCAATAACAGGACCTCCATTACAGGGTTTGTATTAGTTATGACTCGTGGACTTAACTATCCCAGGGTTGTGAGGCCAGACGATGGACCATGAGGACAGCTCACAGGATGTAGCCCTGACGAGGTACTAGGTACAGTCACCAGCACTGGACATTAATGGAGCTTAAATTCTCATGTCAACATTGCGAATTATGTTTATTATTAGCCCATTTTATAGACAGGAAACTGAAGCACAATACAACCATTGATTTGCCCAACGTCACATAGCTAATAAGTGGTAAAATCAGAATTTGAACCAAGTCAGGCCCCGGACTCCACACTCCTAACAACCATCTATTCTTGTGATATGATATACATCGTGCTATGACACTGCTTGGCACATAGTAAATGCTTTGTAGCCAGTAAATGTTAGCTCTTACCATTAAAAAGCTAAATTGACTGTCTATATTGTACCAGTAAAATAAAGGTGATTATGTTAGTAAAGGTTAACAAAAGTGATATACAGTAAGTCCTCACTTAACACGAGGTATAGGTTCTTGAAAACTCTGACTATAAGTGAAACAACATATAATGAAACCGATTTTACCATAGGCTAATTGATACAAATGAGAGTTAAGTTTCCAGTCACAAAAACATCACCAGGCTGTAAACAGAGACCCAAAACACTTCTAATATTAAACACTGAAATAAATGTGAGCTATACATACATTGAAGAAAGATGAATAAAAACAAATAAGATCATTATTTTTATCCCACTTTTTCCAGTTCAGGGTCATGGGTGGCTGGAGCCTCTCCTCACAGCCCAAGGCACCAGATGGGAACCCACACTGGACAGGATGTCTTTCATCATAGATGCAGACAGACACACAGACACACACACACACTCACATTGGGACAACAGAGACACACCAATTCACTACACGTGCACATCTTTGGGATGTAGGAGAAAACCAGAGTTCCCAAAGTATACCCACAAAACAATAAACTTACTATATGAAGTGTACTCTACTATTTTGTATTTTACTTTATTTTAAAATAATGGCGGTTACCATCCACTTTCATGGGTCATGATCAGCAGTTTAAAACTCTGTCCCATAAGACCTAGCACGGTCTCTGGCTGAATAACACTCAATGAATCCTGGATAGAGGTATTTGGCATATTAAGAAAAAAGTTTTCTTGAAAAATATTAAACTACTAATTTGTAAAGAAATCTGCACCCCCATGTTCACTGCAGCATTATTCACAATAGGTAAGACATGGAAACAACCTAAGTGTCCACTGACAGGTGACTGGATAAAGCAGATGTGGTGTATATACACAATGGACTACTACTCAGCCATAAAAAAGATGAAATGTTGCCATTTGTGGCAACATGAATAGATCTTGAGGATACTATGCTAAGTGAAATAAGTCAGACACAAAAGGGCAAAAACATGATTTCACTCATAAGTGGAATCTAAAACAAACAAAATAACAAGTGAACAAAACAAACAAAAACAAACTCATAGATACAGACAACAGAATGGTGGTGACCAGAGGGAAAGGGGGATAGGGGGAGGGCAAACTGGGTAAAGGATTGCAACATCTGGTAACAGGAGGAATCTAGACTTTGCCTGGTAGGCATGCAATAGAGCAGCGGTTCTCAACCTTCCTAATGCTGCGACCCCTCAATATAGTTCCTCATGTTGTGGTGACCCCCAACCATAAAATTATTTTCGTTGCTACTCTATAATTGTAATTTTGCTACTGTTATGAATCGTAATGTAAATATCTTTTTGTTTTCCGATGGTCTTAGGCGACCCCTGTGAAAGGGTCATTTGACTCCCAAAGGGGTCGCAACCCACAGGTTGAGAACCGCTGCAATAGAGTATACAGGTATCAAATTATAATGTTGTACACCTGAAATTTATGTTATCTATCAACCAATGTTGCCTCAATAAATTTAATTTTAAAAAAAGAAAGAAAAGGGTTTTCAAGTAAAGATTTGAAAATTACTGATACATTTAAAATACACAATTATTTGATTAAAAGATCACTAAACAGAAGGAAAACAACAGAATAACAGAGAGAACATGAGTAATCTTGTGTTTTTGACCGTACTGTACACAGTTCTTGGCTTCCCAATTGAAAAAGATAAAAAGCATGGACATTATTCAAGTTGGAGCTTCACATAAGACTAAGCATTTAGAAAGTGAGCTATATCTGTAAAGGTACAGGTTTGGGAATTTTTAAATTGAATACACAGGGTTACAGGAGGAGTTAAAAATGTACTTAACCAGCGAAAGGTAAATGAAATTTAGAAAATTAATGCTCTGAAGGATTCTAGAGATCAGCTAGCCCAAAACCCTCATTTCTTCAGGTGTGATCCAAAGTGATTCTCTCAAGGTCTTGATTAATCAAAGCCAAAATCCTGAAGCAGGCATCCTGCTTCCCACAGCATGCTCCTTTTCATAGAGCATAAAGCCTCTCTAGTTGTTCATTATTTTTTCCTAATTCAGGACACAAGGAACCCATCTAAGATGAGGTAATGAAAGATTTAAGATGGGAAACAAGGAGTTGCCCGAATCTGAAAATTTTCCTTACTCTCAGTACTCAAATAAGTCACTAGAAATTCATCTGTACAAGGAGAGGAGATGTGCTGTGTCCTATAAGCTACAAGACACTTTGGAATAGGATATAAGCCATTGTAAGTACTTTTGAAAGTGGAGCGCTGATATTAGAAATAGCCCAATCTTATTAGATTTGGTGGTAGGGTGGGGAACCTCACATACTGGTTGCCCTCTGAAAAATGGGTTTCAGGCAGAGGTAGGTGACCTTGGTCTTCTCTTAGCAGATGCTGCTGAGAGCCATGAAGTCTTCCCAGCTTTGAGCAGCATCTCCATGTGTCCTGCCCAGGAAGCCACTGCCTCCTTCTCTGCACTGTCTTCCCAGGGTTTGGTGCCCTCAGAAAGATCTTCTCCCAACCTTGGACTATTTACACCTCCAAAGGCAGCTGAGTTTCTGGAGACACTTAAAAAAACACCTACTGCCAGTTTAAGACCTGAGGATGCTTTAACTGTAAACATGTAATTCTGTGTTTTGAAACCTACATTTAAAAATAGAATAAAATCTTATCTAGCAGGGATGACATAAAGGGGTTTTGGGGTGATGACCTTGACAACTTTAGAGTTCCTTCTTATGTCACCTACAATTTTGTGACTTTTTTTTTAAGTTATGCCATTTTAAGAAAACCTGAGTTTGTATATATAGTTGCTCCTTCTAATCCAGGGGGCCCTTTTGAGCATGAAATTTTATCAACCCCCTCCACCTCACCCTCCAATTCATCCATGACATTGAGGATAAATTAGAAACCTTCACATGACCACAAAGCCTAAAATGATGAGGCCTGTTTCTTGCTAGGTTATTTTTGTGCCTCTCACCTTCTTTCGTTCTGGCCTCACTGGCTCTTGGGCGGCTCCCAGAAAAGCCACATTCCTTTAAGTCTCTAAGCCCTCCTCCCAAAGTACTCAGCACTGTCCTACTCAGCTTCGCATTTCCTCCCACCTCAACATCATTTTCTCAGAGAATCCTTTTTTAGTTATACTTGGTCAGATCTACCACCTCACTGTGATTTTTTTAGGATGGCAAACTTCCCTTGGAGACATCTACCATAACTATAACTAAATAATTTATTGTGTAATGTTGCCTGTTCCTTGACTAGAGTAGAACATCTTGAAAGCAGAAAGCATTTGCTTTGTTCATGGCTGTACTCTCAGCATCTTTTAGCAGGATCTCCACAGATATTTTTGAATAAATGCATGGATGAAACTTAAACTGAGGATAAAAAGTAAACATTTTCATTACAAAAAAAGCTGTTTTCTAAAGGAATTCTCAGTGAGACTGATTTTTCTACAAGCTTCCTAGTGTGTTTCAATTGTAATTGATCAAAATTCATTTCATATGAATTTTCAGGAATACTTCTATTGCATTAAATAAGGTATATGCAAGTGTAAAGTTAATGACCAACTGAACATCTAGAGAAGGTTGCAAATTCCCAGAACAAAGACAAAATTAAAACGCATTGAGATATCCTTTTCGTGATCTTCATGCATTGCTACTATGTTTCGCTGATATTCCCCCGGAAAAAATTTTTAATCCAATGCCCTCAAGGTGGTTCGGCTTTTCTTCTCTTGAAAAATGTCTTCCAAAAATGACAACAGGTTCACATTTCGTTGCAAGAAAGGAGCATTATAGCCTGTGTGGTTCTGACATTATGAACATGAAGAAAGCCATAAGGAAATGAGATGAACTAGGCCGTGATATTGAATTTTCATCTGGTAGCATCTTAC